ATACATACATACATTTATCATTGGCGCTCATATAAGTTATAACCTTATGCAGTTGCAAGTGCCGTAAAACCTGTACTAAAACTAAAAAATACACGTGTCAGTTATCACGATACATTTTCGAAGCGTTTTGAATTAATGTGGAGTATGTGTGGAGAAGTAGGACGCGGGTACACTGGGACGAATGTATGAACAAAAATTATATATAGATCAATTACATTATAACCGCAGAGCATTGATTGTATTAGTGTATTAGTATTACTTATCACTCTACCTTTGGACTGTTGTTACACATCCCTTCAACTTCAACTCTCTACTTCCGTGTTAGTTTTCTAGTCCCAAAGACGGCCCACTTTTGCCGAACTGTTTTTTGTTGTTGTTTTTTTCAAGACCAGTTTCTGTCCCTCAGCATCGAATGTGCTGATGTTCAGCTGAAGGTGAGTATGTTTTTTAAACTGGTCTGCCCGCCCATGGTTCGGAGAATTGGGACACAGTGACCCATTTTACCTCACCTGGTGTCCCAGTTGTCCTGCAGCAAAGAGATTAACTTACCGGTATCCGGTGCCAAATTATCACATCACATCGGAACGGAACATTTCGCAATAAAAGTACAAGCTTGGTTAATGTTAGTAAGCAGCCCATAATAATAATATATATCATATTAGCCTGATGTGTAGTTCTATATTTCTCTTACCACTTTCCTGGGTTTTGATTTTTGTTGTTGTTGGGTTTTTAATTGCTTTGTTTTGTTTCTTTGTTGTTGTGTTTTTTTCCAGAAATGTTACGTGTATTGATCTATAGACCCGAAGCGGGATTTACCCCTACATCTCAAATGTAATATTGAAAAAAAAAAGCCGGTGGAGGCTGTTCAGAATGGTAGGCTAAGAATATTATATCCAGAAAGCATCTGCAGAACTTATTCGGTGTGCCAAAATTGACACTCGGTCGTTGTGTGCAAAAAGTGAAAGTATGGGCGAATGCAAGCCTAGGCATCAGCCGAACTACTTCCGGTATGCCAGCAAACCCCACCGTTATTGACTTTTTGTCAGAAGCACAAGAATGGACACTCCGCAACTTTCTAGAAAAAACGTGTCCAAACACGTTTTGTGCCGGGCTCACAACACACCAGACTCGTACGTTAGCCTATGGAAGAGCAATACAGAACAATGTGGAACATAGCGTACACTAGTAGTACTCTAGTACTCTAGTGCGCTATGGTGTTGAAGTTACAGAGCTTTGTGATGACAACACCGAGACAGGTGAAAGAGTAGATCTAGATCAAGACATTCCACGTTTTGCCAAGGTGTCTGGATTAAATTGTCTGTGCGCGCTCCAGAGGCGACTTCTCTCTCTTTAAAAAAAAAATTATATATAAATCTAAATTTTAAAGTATCGGTCTTCAACCTTTTTTTTTTCTCCAAAATTCTTGTAATTTCAACTATCGACCCGCAGTAAACGATACATTTCCAAAAAAGCAAGAACAGACAAATATGGAAATTCATTCGTAAAAACTGCAGTGAGGTTACTGAACACACAGTGCTACAAATGAAAGAGAGAGAGAGAGAGAGAGAGAGAGAGAGAGAGAGAGAGAGAGAGAGAGAGAGAGAGAGAGAGAGAGAGAGAGAGAGAGAGAGAGAGAGAGAGAGAGAGAGAGAGAGAGAGAGAGAGAGAGAGAGAGAGAGAGAGAGAGAGAGAGAGAGAGAGAGTTTACGGAGCGGGTTGTCCCAGCACGTGAGACATATTGTACTTGACCTAATGTCCTGCCTTGTGCGTTTGCGTAAGTGCACCTTTATTAAGTCTAACTTTTGTAACGCCTACTGCCATTGATAATTAACAACCAAGACAAATTTCTCCCTGCGAGATGAATAAAGACTGTCATTGTCGATATGAATTAATTTTTATACTCTGTTGGTTCTTGCTTTTTTGCTTTTTGTTTTGTTTGTTGTTTTTCTCCCCTTTAAAATAAAATAAAATTACCGGTACGTCGTGCAATCAAAAATTCGTGGCGCAACTTATAGTCAAATATCTCCTCAACTATCAAACATTAACTCTCCAGCTTTTGCACAGTGACGGTGACTTGTATCAATTTGTCTTAACCTAATATTAATATTTTAGTGAACACCTGTTAGTGTTAGCTCAATTCTAGAAAATTCATTAATTAATACTAATTAAAAAGTCCCAGTGGGGGTTTTCTGAAGATTTAAAAAGGTTTACAGTTGGGACAATATCGCTTTTAAAAGGATGTCAGTCATTTTTTTTTCTTCTAATTGCGAGGCAATGTTTATTGAACGGAACGCATGGTTTGAGTTTGAGTTTGAGAACGCTTAGTTAGTGCAAAAAAGTGTTCACTATAGAATCAATAGAGAGAGAGGGAGAGAGAGAGAGAGAGAGAGAGAGAGAGAGAGAGTGAGAGAGAGAGAGAGAGTGTGTGTGTGAGAGAGAGAGAGAGAGAGAGGGGGGAGGGGGGAGGATAGCGAGAGGCCTGAGAGAGAAAGAGAGAGAGAGAGAGAGAAAGAGAGAGAGAGAGAGAGAGAGAGAGAGAGAGAGAGAGAGAGAGAGAGAGAGAGATCTCCGTTTTCCCTAACCCTATTGTTGTATCGTTGTAGATGTTTATTAACTAAATTAAACTTCGGTTGCTTCTACTTCTTGTTCTAGTTCTACTAAAATAAATTATGTTTTGTTTTCTCTATCTGTGGGAATTGTCCAGCATTCACAGCCGTACAGGGGTATTGACCAAACATAATTACTATTAGCACCCCGATTCTGTTACTGCGACTGTAATTAATTAATTGTAGCTTTTGATGTCGCGGTTGTTGATGGTAGGCCTGATGACACTGTAATATTCATATAGTTATGTAATGATGGCAAGAATATTTGCGTAGGTTGGGATAGTTGGGCAGAAAAGTCTGCCTTCGTCAATATATATACTAACCGTGCTGACCCAGCCCCCCCCCCTTTTTAAATACAACAACAATTTTTACCAATACACAGTGAGTGTGTGTGAGTTTTGACGAAATCCAAACACCCACGTGACAACAAAAAGTACACGCACTTCACATAATACATAAGATTATTCTAGAATGGTTGTATAGCCATCCTCTGCCTCTCACACCCTGGTGTATTGGCTGTCCCCACGGTTTTATGCGCCCCGC